TTACAAGTGACACTGAATGTCACTAGTAAATGACTTTAGATGCCTAACACTTTGCTTATGTGGGAACTTCCCATTAGTTTCTGGAGCAGGGGGTGTCCATAGGGTGTGGTTTTTTAAAAAAAAAAAAGAAATCAAAATGGCAGCTTCCATTGCATCATTGCAGGCACCATTTTAACTCTTTTACCACACCCCCAGATCCCCTAACTGGCGTAAAAGACACCCATATCTTAATCATGCATATTTGCATGTCAGCTGTTTCCTGCTTATCAGAGTAAATGGGAAATCTCTTGTGGCAGCAGAGTTTTGCAGATAGTGATCGACTAGTTCCTGGCAGCAGACGCGATGGAACAAATTCAATAGATCTTTATTTTATATGTCCATTAATAGTTTGAAACAAACAGTCTTCTCCCACCCTTACACCCCTGCTGCTGGCTTTCAATCACAATGGAATGTTTTCATTGGGGAAACACATCACAGTTGGCTGAATACTCCCCAGCTTGATATGATGGATGGGATAGTGATGGCAGCTGCTTTTTGAAATCATAACTTTCTTTCTCCACATAATGGCTTTCCCTCCTTTTGCATGCTGCATGGTTCACGGCATTTCCTCCTCTTATTTCTCTTGTTTTCCTCCTCCTTTTTGTTAATCCCCATTAAAATGTGCCCCTTTATCTCTAAGGAAACATCTGAGTTTTTGGAAAGATATCTGTTTTTATTCAAATCAATGTTACAACCATATTAGAATCTATGAATAACGCAGACGGTTGATTGGAAACTGTGATCAAACACCAAGCAAGCTTGACTGGGCCTGCCTGACAATTGGCTACTTCAAATACTCCAGCCTTACTTAGTTTAAGTAGCATATTATTTTTTGGGATGTTTCTCTGGGCACATTCTCTGAGATAAGGTTAGAGCTTGAACAGCAGAATTACCACAACACTGTTCAGACGAGTAATATTGTAATAAGAAAACTGAAGAGTAATCAGATTCTTAGTGCACTTCAGTTTTAAAATGAAACAATAAGGTTGACCTTTAATCTTGCATTGTGGTGTTTGCCTTTTCTATACATATGTGCAAATTTTGGAATGCCTTAATTATTATTTTTATTTTAAAAAAAAGAAATCAAGCAATAATATGTTTCTTTTTTCCCCCCTCTCCACCTCCTTCCTCTTTGTGCGTGTGCTGCCTCTCTGCGATTTGTTTGCCTCTTCCTCTTAAATGCAAGATCAAGCAGGTTGGTGTGTTTGATTTGCACTGCATCTAATGGAATTGAAATAAAAATTTTAAAACTCACCTAGCTTTTTGTGCTCTAAAATCTCGGTGGATACAATGGGCATGCAATTCTATTTATTCTGTTTTGTTAATGGATCCAATCAGCTAAAACGGAAGTCAGGGAAGGGGGTTTCACCATGTAGACAAAATTTGGGTAACATTGTCCAAATAAAGATATGGGAGACAAGCCAGAGATTGTCCTTCTATAGCAATAGCTCAATTATATTGTTTTTTTTTTAATCTTACCAAGATTGTCCTTCTCAATATTTCATGTTGTGGAGAGAAAGGGTCAAAGAGTAAAATGGGGCAAACAAAAAAAGATTCTTTTCCACCTTGCTTCTGTTTCTACCCTCTGACCAAATGGCAAATTCTGCTTTAGCTTAATAATTTTGCTCCTTTTTTTTCTTCCAGCAATATATTATTCCAACACTGTGCTTCTCGTTTTTAATTTTAAAAGTTAATATCCACTAGAATGTGTATATTTTTAAAAAAATCAAAATCTATGTCGTTCTAAATTCATGAAAATGTTTTTGGTGGGATAATATTGGAACATCTTACCCGGTTGATCATTATAAATCAAACATCCCCAATAGGAACGAATCACAATGTATTTAATGCAAGTCTATGCCATGATCACAGAATGGTTATTTAGAAGTCTCTTATGTTGCAGTGTCGATTACAAGCTTGTTGTCCATTGAAAAAAATTATTATATAACAATATAATGAGAAAATATGTCTTCTTAATGAAACTTGCTTTTAAATCCCGTGGAAGGAAAAAAGAAAGTTTCTCCTGACAAGATGTTGGAGATGCAGGCCAAAATTGATGAAGAAAGGAAAGCACTTGAAACAAAGCTCGATATGGAAGAGGAAGAAAGGAACAAAGCTCGGGCAGAACTTGAGAAAAGGGAGAAAGATTTGCTTAAAGCACAGTAAGCATTCTGAAAATTGAGAAGAAATTCATAGAACATTCATCTAACAGAGGGTTCTCCAGGCTGATCCCTGCTGATTTGTTTGAATGCAACTCTGATCAGCACAACGTATCTCGGAAGGAGGATAAAAAGTGGTTGAATAAAAGTGTTCAAATCACTTCATATGCCTTCTCTAATTGAAGCTTTTATAACAATTCATAAGAAAAGTTGGCATTAGAGCCACGGTGGCGCAGTGGTTAGAGTGCAATACTGCAGGCTACTTCAGCTGATCACCATCTGTCTGCAGTTTGGCAGATCGAATCTCCCCAGACTCAAGGTTGACTCAGCCTTCCATCCTTCCGAGGTCGGTGAAATGAGGACCCAGATTTTTGGAGGTCATATGCTGACTCTATAAACTGCTTAAAGAGGGCTGTAAAGCATTATGAAGCAGTATAGAAGTCTTAAGTGCTAGTGCTATTATTATTGCTTTTATCACTATTTATTGAAGTTAAGTGAAATCCTTATAGAGATATTAGAGAAATAACTTAGCATTAGTTACAACAATTCCTGTGACACAAGAGCATTAATTAGAACATTTTGAGAGCAAGAGAAAAAAATCAACTTTCCTTTGTTGTAAATATAGCTGCGCTAGAGTTCCTGATACATCAGATGAACTGCTGGGAAGTAGGCCACGTTCAGTCTGACTGATGTTGAGAGAACATTAAAATCTTACAATCATCCAAAATACCCCTACCATAGACTTAATTTACTTAAGATTAGTAAGAGAATGTAAGGAATTGTTTAGGACGTCTGTCATATGCAATATCGACTGCTACATTTGGTGTTTTTAGCTGTGGAATCCTGGTTGTAGGAATGCAAAGGGTGTTTTCCCCCCCTGTTTCTCTAGGCAAGAACATCAATCACTATTAGAGAAGTTGTCAGCTTTGGGGAAAAAAGTGATTGTGGGAGGTGTGGATTTGTTGGCTAAAGCTGAGGAGCAAGATAAACTTCTGGAAGAATCTAACATGGAGTTGGAGGAACGAAGGAAAAGAGCAGAGCAACTCCGAAAAGAGCTGGAGGAGAAAGAGGTCCACTTATTCTCTTGCTGAACTATTGTTTTCTTTTATTCTAAACAGCCTCCATGATACTGTTCTTCATCTATGCATTTATATGTTCAGCTAAAGCTAAGGAATAATCAAGGAGTAATTTTGATAGAGCATGATAGTATCCAAAAGTTTAGAGATATGTCCTGTAGTACTGAAAAGAAGAGAATAATAGTCCAATGAAACCCTTTTACTCTTAAGAATAGAGTTGGGTAAACAGCTAGCATATTTACCATCATACATTTTAAAAGAAGCAGAATCTCTTTAAGACACCCTTGAAAGGAATCCAATATTGAAGCTTTTCTAGACAATGAAATGTAACTGAAGAAAATAAAAAGAAATACATGGTTTAACTACTAAAAGAAGCAGAGGAGGAAGCATCTAGTAAAAATATAAGTGTGCAATGATCAAGGATGCCACGTCTAAGTTGCATACATTTGGGCAAGCACAAAGAGAAAGAAAAATACTTACTGTAGTGGTCACCCAGAATTTTGCAGCCCAGACATGGCAAATAATGCTTCCAAATTCAGAACTCAAGGAAACGGTGAAGTTTGATAAATGGGGAATACCTTTTTGGACAGGAGATTTTGTCCAAAAACATAGCAAAAGGAAGAAAGCTTGTCCTTAGTATCTAAATAAATTCAGAGGAAAGTAGGAAAATAGACATATATTGATTATGGCAAAAGTTCATTTTGTCTGCATTTAAGTTGTTGTCCCGTAGTCCTAGGAATTAATGCACTTGAACTAACCAACCAGTCAAGGCTTCAAGTTGAGTTTCAGCTTCAGGAAAACAAAACCAGGGATGGGTTCTGGCAGACACTACTGCCGGTTCGCTCGTGTACGCGCGCATTAGCAATACAATTAAAATTGTTCTACGCATGTGCAGAACTGAAGAACAAGATGGTGGCTCCTATGGCGCTGCCCAGAGAACTGGTTCGGGTGTGTGGCAGGCCTGGGTCACTGCGGGTTCCAGCGAACCCAGGCCGCCAAACCACTACCGAACTAGTAGGAACCCACCACTGAACAAAACCAATGAAAAACTAAAATGGCAGTTAGAAGGAAGGAAAGTGGACTTTTCTCTCTCACAGATATGTCCATTTTTATCACAAGCATCTTCCTTCAAAAAACTGGATGTTTAAAACTTTGGAGAGATATCTTGATACTCATTGGAAAGCATCATATGGAAGCTTTAAATCTTTCAGATGTAATTGATAAAAAGCCATAACCATATAAAAGATCAGATAGTCTTTTTCTACTTCAGCATAAGTGGAAGCTGGAAAATACCTCATTTCCTAATTTGTCAGACCTTGCTAATTTACACCAAATAAGATGCAAAAACCCTTGGGTGAGCTTTGGTGAGTGTCTGAAATAGATGCACAAATGGCACAAATGGGGGACAAACTATTATCGTATTCTTATTTTACGAATCCTCCTCCAAGGGCTTATGTAAAACAATATTCTTGCACTTGCCCATCAGATAGATAATGGAGGCCAATCTATTTTTTTTATTTGAAAAATAGCAAGAGCGTTTGGACATTGAAGAAAAATATACCAGCCTGCAAGAGGAAGCTCAGGGGAAGACTAAGAAGCTGAAAAAAGTGTGGACGATGCTCATGGCAGCCAAGTCAGAGGTCAGTATTATAAATGAAAGGTCTGGTTTCAGGATAAAGGTGCTGCTTGTAGGCATACAGAAATGATTCTTGTAGGAGGAAATTGAACATGGCTCAGTGACTGAGTAAGAAGAACCTAAAAAGGAAAATGCTAGTTGGTATGTAGATGAGGGACATGGTGGCTCAGTGGCTAAGACACTGAACTTGTCGATCAGAAAGGTTGGGAGTTCGGCGGTTCAAATCCCTAGTGCCGTGTAATGGAGTGAGCTCCTGTTACTTGTCCCAGCTTCTGTCAACCTAGCAGTATAGGAAGCATGTAAAAAATGCAAGTAGAAAAATAGGAACCACCTTTGGTGGGAAGGTAACAGCGTTCCATGCCGCCCGCATGNGAAGAAGAAGAAGAAGAAGAAGAAGAAGAAGAAGAAGAAGAAGAAGAAGAAGAAGAAGAAGAAGAAGAAGAAGAAGAAGAAGAAGAAGAAATCACTTTTCTTAAATCATGTTTAAGGCAAATTGTCTCACAGCACCTGAAAGTAAAAGTTAGCCAGAAGCAATTTGGCACATTTGTTGAAACGCAGTGTGAACTCTGCTTTTTCTCCACCTCTTAGGTTCCTGTATTATCATTGGTTCTTTTGAAAGCATTTCTAATTTTCCTTTCTGACAGACCTTTAAATGCTGTTTTTCCTCTTTTTAATGAATAGTGTAATTGGGGAGATGGGAAAACTCCTCCACTACTTTTATGCACTATAAAGTCTTTATTTTAAATCTACCTCTTGAACAGAATTACTTCATTAATTAAAAGGATGAAAATTACAAGGAACATAAATACATATTTAACAGATTTACTCTCAAACAATGACAAATATATATATATATCAATGCACTTTTTAAGCTTCCAAACAAAAAAATGTTAATTACAGCAAAATCTTGCTCAGAACTTTCAACTAAAATTAAGAAAGGCTGACATTAGTTGGTTGGGTGGTTGGTCCCAAAAGATTCTTGAATGGTCCCTCAGTATTGTTAATTGAACACTTAGGATTTAAAAACAAAATCCTACATGGGTTTTTGTGCAAGCCTGATCTGTCCCTAGTTTGCCACAAAACCTTAAGCATCATCTTCACCTCCATTTTTTCTGAGCCATGGATTTAAAGTCAAACTCATTGCAAAGTTCTCACAGAGGAGTTAGACTGGATCGTCCTTCGTCTCTTCAAGAGCATTCATTGGTCCGGATGGTATTTAATATGATTTACGAGTCAAAATAAACAAAATAGAACTCTGCCTTGGAAAATCGAAGAGGTTCTGGAGAGAATGCCCAGGCACACCGACAAAACGGGAGGCACTTCGGATTATGCAATGATGCTCCATTAGGGTTCTTTGTTACTCATCATCACCACTTCTTCGCTCCGTCTTTGTTTCTGTGTAGTGCATACTTGTTGAAGGCTGGTAGGGAAGACCTCGAGAAGCAGCTCCTTCCGTCCGCTCAAGGCCTTGTCAGGGTTGTGTAGACTGGCTGGTCCCAGTTCGCGGTGGGGCTGTGAGAAGGAGGGATGGACAGGCTGTTAAGGATCGGGGTGGCATACGGCCGGCGGGAAGAATGGAAATATGGGTACTGGTAAATGCTGGAAGGATAGCCCGAGTAGGGGTTGTAGTAGTTGGAACTCTGAAGATCGGTGTAGTCACACTGGGAGCTGGAGAATGATCCCGTGGCTGAGCTCGGGGACACGGTGGTGGCACACGCCTGCGCCGTGTAGGATCCGTAGTCCGAATGGGTCGGAGAGTTGTGAGACTGGTCGCTGTAATGACTCGGACTGAGCTGTTCAGTCTTGATGTGAGGCCTCTGCTGGCTGCTTTCGCTGGAAGAAGGAGAGGCCGATGTAGGACTCTTGTGAGTCCATACCTGGGAGGACCCCCCGGTGCTGCCGTTGGCCAGGTGAGCGTAAGAAGTCCCATAAGACCCTGCGGTGGAGTTCTGCCCGTGGCTGGCTGGCATGGCAGAGTGGCCGTTGAGTGGCAAGTACTGGTCAAACTCGTGGATGTCGAAAGCCTCCATGTTGTTAATGACCTCACTGCTTAACTCGGAGATATCCACGTTGCTGAAATCGATGTTCTGCCGGCCGCTTTCCATGAGGCGCCGGCCCTCGTGCTTCAGCTCTTGCTTGCTCCCAGGGTGAAGGTCTGTCTTAGGGGTGGTAGGTGGGGTAGGAGGTCCATGGGGCTGCCCTACAAGAAAAGTGTATTGAAAACAAAGTCATCATCTTCAAAGGGAAGACGGTTTAGCTTAAACACCAGCCCTGAAAGATGTATGGTCATTTGTATTTAATCAAAATAAAGGACACAGGCAGTAGACCTGCAGGAAAGCAAAGGATCATCTACTTTGGAAATCAACTTTGGAAATCCTGCTATCAAAATAGGAAAAGAGCCCAGTCTGTTGTTCTTAGATGGACCCACCTACCAGGAAAATGACCACATAAAGCTGGGATGGTGAGGAGCAGGAGGGCTAGAAGCAGAGGTGGAATTCTACTGGTTTGGACTGGATCGGCCAAATCGGTAGCAGAAATTGCGGGTGGTTCTGCCCACCCACGCCCAGCTCTACCGCATCCCATTTAGGCCATTTTTTCAACAAAAGTGCATGTGCGGAAGGATCTGTGTATGCGCGGAGGTGGAGCGTGTGAGCGAAATGAACACGTGCAAGCTCTCGCTCACATTTGTGAACCAGTAGGGAAGGTAAGTGTATACCACCCCTGGCCAGAAGGGACCTTGGAGGTTTTCTAGTCCAGCCCTCTGCTCAAGCAGGGGACCTTGTACCATTTCAGACAAGTGGCCATCCTATCTCTTCTTCAAAGCCTCCAGTGATGGAGCACCCACAACTTCTGCTCCACTAGTTAATTGTTCTCACTATTAGAACAATTAAGAAAGTTCTCCTTAGTTGTAGGTTACTGTTCTCCTTGATTAGTTTCCATCCATGATTCCTTGTCTGGCCTTCAGGTGCTTTGGAAAATAGTTTGACCCTCTCTTCTTTGTGGTAGCCCCTCAAATATTGGAACGCTACTATATTTGAGGGGCTAAGAAAAGCTAAAGAGCAACTGACAAGTTTGCTTTCTGGTCAATGTGGGCTTATGATGGGCCATACTCCTGTGGCAATCCTTTGGCAGTGCACCTGCAGTGTGAATTTGGAATTCCAGGTGTGCTAAGCACAAGGAACACTGGAGAGACCAAGTAAGGGCTGACTGTATAGTGTACTCATTAGAGAATGAGAGGAATATCCAAAGCTTTAACTTCTATTACTGCCACCTTTGGGCCACGTACCTTAGTGGCCTAGCAATTTTAAGATGCGTGGACTTCAATCCCCAGAATATTCCAGCTGGCACTGAAGACCATGCATCTTAAAATGGCTAAGGTTGGGAGACACTGAGCTATCTCAAAACTGTCTCATCTGACTGGGGAAGGATTCTCTTACATTCAAGCAAGGCTCTCTCCAAACCAACCAGGCATTAAAGATAACATCTGGCACCTCTGGCTTGCAAAGCAAATGCTTTCCTAATAGCGTTCCCAATTCTGCATGTCAATTTGCATAGGCTGAAAGTTTTGGAAAAGCCATTTCGGGTGTAAGCAGCTGCACTGGAGAGAAAGGAACGGAAGCTACCAGGAAAACCATTTAGCACAACACAGGCCCAGCTGGAAGGACCATACCACACATCTGTCAAGGCCTGATTTGACTTGTTTTGCAGAGAGAAACTAAGTGTGCCCTTTCATTGATGATCAATGAAATTAATCTGAATTTGTGAACAGCAAATTTGAGTGCGCCTATTGTTTTATGGTAGTTTTGTGGGTTTTGTTTGTTTTTAAATTGGTTGTTTTTGTTTTTATGTTGAAAACTGCCCAGAGTAAGCCAATTTAACATAAATAGGATGCAAACACATGGCAACATCCATCAAATCTTCACACTGGTTCAAAGGTGCCAGATCAGAAACCCCCAATCCATTCTGAATGAAAGGTAGGAGATGGTCTAGGAAGGTTGGGAAATGAATGCAAGGAAGGAGAGGCTGGAATCAAAAGACAAAAGTGAGTTGATGGCAGCAGTTCTTCTCATAAACAGCAACTCGGGTGGGGAGAAGCATTTCCAATCATGTAAATGAACTCCTTATAAAGGAGGCTGGGAAATTACTCTTCCAGGTGCCAAGATTATGCATTGCCCCTAATTCTAGCATTTATTGGAATCTGGCTACTTAGATACAGATACAGATTAACAGAGTTGAGAGGGATCTTGTAGGTCATCTAGTCCATCCCCCCACCCAAGCAGGAGAGTCTACACCATTTCTGAAAGATGGCAGTTCAATCTCTTCTTGAAAGCCTCCAGTGATGAAGCACCCACACCTTCAGAAGGCAACTTCTGTTCCATTCATTGATTGTTTTCAGTGTCAGAAAATTTCTCCTTATTTCCAGGTTGAACCTCAAGCTAGTTCTTGCTTCCTTGGTCTGGAATAGCTGGTTGAATTTGGACAACAGCCTTTGAACTGAACTTTTTCATGGCAGCCTCACATCCCTTATATCAGTGGTCCCCAGACCTTTCTGGATTTTTGAACCAGCAGTGAGGGGAGGGGCAGGAGGGGATGGTTCCACGCAAGCAGTGGGCATGTACATGTGATTGTGTAGCTTCATTTTGCAAGTGGTGGGTGCCCATTTG